CCAGAGTAAAAGGCTCTGGTGACCGATTCCCGGACCCCCCAGAACTGCTGCTGCCAGCACTGCCAACGGAGAGGAATTGGGGGTGCCCGGGCATCTATCAAAGGAGCCAAAACACCCCCCCACGACCTTGATTGAGCCGGAAAGGCACCCGACCCCCCCCCAACAGCCGAGAGGAGCTCCAAAACCAGGAGGACAGTGGAGCTAACGCAAAGAGGGAGAAAGAAAGGGAGAGAGAGGAAGAAAAAGAAAGAAAGAAAAAGGAGCCCCAAATTTACCGTTGCTGCCCCCATCTCTGCCGACGGGAAAGCAGAGGAGAGGTAGGTGAGCACGGTGAAGGCAAAATAGGCTTCGGGGAGGAAGGGGGAAAAAAAACACACGTGGCTGAGCCCTACCGGGAGCTCCAGTGGCAAGGAAAACACAGAGAAGCTGCATAACAAAGGAGACCACAGAAAAGAAAAAACAACCTCCCCCCCCTTTTTTTTTAACTCCCCCTTTTTTTAACCCCTTCCTCCCCCTCCCTCCCTCCCTCCCTTTAAAGAAAATATATATATACATCTTTCTTATCCCTCCCCCCCATATACCTACTTTTACCACTTTTCTTTTTAAAAGAGGGGCCACTGCTGCTGCAGCCACCCTTTATTTGAATCTTTACTTTTATTTCTATCTTTTCTACTCACTATTTAAAGACACACTTTTCCACACACACATCCTCAATTTAAACCTCATTTTATTTCCACCTCAAACCCCCCTCTTAAGATTTAAAATGGCAGTACCCAGAAAACAGCCCTGAACCATCACAGGCCATTTCCTGGGACTGCCACTTCGCCCCAGACTTTCCACTCTCTTTTACCTACCCTCTTTTACCTATACTTTACGCATTTTTTTAAAAAAATAAAAAGCTCTATCTAAAGACAACCCCCCCTTTTTTTTTTTACCTTTAATTCTCATTTTTATCTTTTACCCGTACTCATGTAAAAACACATGATTCCCAGACCGTCCGCAGGCCAGATTGAGAAAATGATTGGGCCAGATCCAGCCCCCAGGCCTTACGTTGCCTACCCATGGGTTGGAGAGCAGCCAGACACAAACAGAGGGGGAAAGGAGGAAGGACTTGGAGATTGGCCTGTCTAGCTCAGCTGCCACTTCTCAGAAGGAGGCATCTGCTTCAAACTTTTGGGAAACAGTGAAGACCTAAGTGTGGCAATTGACTGGAGGATGATGCCCTTCAGCTCAAATGCAATCTGTTGCAACCACATTCATATTTAACACAGGAGCAACAACTTTATCCACACAATTAAGACTGCTAGGAATCTGATCTCTGCCCCCCACCCCAAGCAACCTACAGTTTAAGAAGAAACGTATCAAGTGTATGACCTAATGTCATATTCCAGGAGTATCTTGACAATTAAACGGCCAAACTTTTTAAGGTGTAAACCAGTGGTTCCCAAAGTGGGCAATACTGCCCACAGGTGGGAGGGGGCAGTGGGATTACTTAGCAGAGTGAAAAGGACTATCAGATGTTAAATAGCTGGTATCACTGGATCAAGTTCATCAATTTTGTTGAATTAAATTAAATGGTTTTAATTCGGTTTTGTACAGGGTTTTTTTGGGGGGGGTAGTTTTTGCATTTTTATTATTTAAACCATTAAGCATTAATAAAAGTAAAATATATACATATAAATGATCACATACACCTGGCTTGCCAGTAGTATATGTGAAAAGGATCTGGGTTCTTATTAGACCACAAGCCTAACATGAGTCAACTGTGTGATGCAGCAGCAAAAAAAGTGAATGCTACTCTAGGCTGCATCAACAGAAGTCTAGTGTCCAGATCAAGGGAAGTAATAGTACTGGCCTTGGTCAGACCACACCTGGAATAAATACTGTGTCCAGTTCTGGGTGTCACAATTTAAGAAGGATACTGACAAGCTGGAAAGTGTGCAGAGGAGGGCGACCAAGATGATCAATGGTCTGGAAATCAAGTCTTATGAGGAACTACTGCAATGTGTTCTATGTGGGGTTACCTTTGAAGGTGACTCGGAAACTGCAATCAATCCAGAATGTGGCAGCTAGACTGGTGACTGGGAGTGGCCACTGAGACCATATAACACCGGTCCTGAAAGATCTTCATTGGCTCCCAGTACGTTTCCAAGCACAATTCAAAGTGTTGGTGCTGATCTTTAAAGCCCTAAACGGCCTCGGCCCAGTATGCCTGAAGGAGCGTCTTCACCCCCATCGTCCAGCCCGGTCACTGAGGTCCAGCTCCGAGGGCCTTCTGGCAGTTCCCTCGCTGCGAGAAGTGAGGTTACAGGGAACCAGGCAGAGGGCCTTCTTGGTAATGGCGCCCACCCTGTGGAATGCCCTTCCAGCAGTTATCAAGGCAATAAGCAACTATTTTAAAAGACATCTGAAGGCGGCCCTGTTTAGGGAAGTTTTTAATGTCTGACGCTGTATTGTTTTTAATATTCGGTTGGGAGCCACACAGAGCGGCTGGGGAAACCCAGACAGATGGGTGGGGTATAAATAATAAATTATTATTATTATTATTGTTATTATAACAGTTGAAGGAGGTGGGTATGCTAAGAAAAGAAGAGACTGAGAGGAGACATGATAGCCATCTTCAAATATCTCAAGGGCTGTCACATGGAGGATGAAGCAACCTTGTTTTCTCCAGCTCTGGAGGATAGGACTTGAACCAATGGATTCAAGTTACAATAAAGGAGATTAAAACTAACCATGAGCAATAACTTTCTGACAGTAAATGCTGTTTGGCAGTGCAATGGACGCCCTCAGAAGGAGGTGCACTCCCCTTCCTTGGAGGTTTTTAAGCAGAGGTTGGATGGCCATCCGTCATGTGTGATTTAGTTGAGGTTCCTGAATTGCAGGGGGTTGAACTAGATGACCCTTGGGGTACCCTTCCAACTCTGCAATTCTGTGATTTTATACATACAAAGTATCACAGCAGCAGCAGCTCTTTCCTTAAAAGCAAGCAGCCCTAACAGATAAGCAAGTTGCAAAGGGCTGCTGATTATGTAGATTCACCCTCCCTGTAGTTAAAAACTGCCATGAAAACAGGAAGAATAAAATTACAAGATAATGAACTAATAATCACAGAAAGCTTGGAAAGAAAGAAAGATGTAAGATATATTCCATAGTGGAATGTAAGGTTCATATTTCTAGAAAACATATTGAATATTCATTAATTTTGCCAAACCAATTCCTATTTAGTGGGAATATGCCAACCATTAGTTTAGATTTGGTTATATAAATCACAAATGGCGCCCCAAGCAGAAGCAAAGTCGGAGGCATCTGCATCACCCCGGCGGCATGTATTTAATGAGTCCGTTTTCAGAAATGGCAGTGACTTTTTAAAACCATACATCCACAGAATAAACAGTATGTGTCCTCCTACTAGATCACTAGAGGAGATCACGAGATGAGCGGCAACCAACAGATACAGAATTATTTGTTGACAAATAAGGTCAGCCTTGGCAGCATCAAAAACGGCTATAGCTTAGCATCCAATGTGACCTGTGTGCCAACACTAATCTCCATTACAACCTGCTTCCAGAACCTGCGTACATAACTACACCCTCGCTACAAATGCCAGTATGTTGCTCTTAAGGTACGCGGAATATACAGTACTGTTTTGTTGTGCTATTATCTTTCCTTATTGGGTTGTGCAAACTGTTCGCTTTTTATAGGCAAGGGGGCACCAGGGATGAGTTAATGGAAGCAGAGGTGGGGCGCTGGCCCAAACAAAGTTTGGGAACCACTGTTGTGAACTGTGTGCGCGCACTCATTTACACGAAATTTAAACTCCCATAGCTTTTCCTCAAGCTTCAGACGGAGGAAAACCTATCTCACTAATCAATAAAATTGCTAGCTGGCAGTTTAACACAGCCACTTCCTAATATTCAAGAACCTGCAGCTTCCCTCTGCACAACCCCTGCAATGGGGAGAATAATAGGTGTGTATGACCGCCACCCCCCCCACCCCACCCAATAATAGGTGTTGAACAGTGGTTCAGGCAGCTCTTAGACTTGCCTGGTTGTTACAGGCAGACAGAAAATCAGTTATCTCCTGCTAAATACTGGGTTGTATCCAACTAAGATCATCCAGCACAGACCCACTGAAATTAATGGATCTAAGTTAGTCATGCCCATTGTTTTAAATGGGTCTACTCAGAGTAGGACTAGCATTGGATACAAGCCCTTATTGATATATTTTCTTGTTAACTATTTCCTATGGTGATGATGATGATGATAATCATACTACTTCAGTGTATTAGTCACTTATCACACGAGCCTCCAAGTGAACTTGCATAATTTTTAATAGCGTAAAGCAAAATCAGAACAAATACATCCTATAAAACAGCAGCAAAAAATGTACCATCAACAGACAACAAAACCATCCTAATCCTGCAAATGTCTAGGAGAGAGAAGTTTTCACCTGACGCCAAAATAATGTTAATGATGGTGCCAGGCAGACCTCACTGGGCAGGAACATTCCACAGCTGAGAAGCCACAACCCATAAGGCCTTGTGCCCTTGCTGACACCCTCTTGGAGAGTGCGGGAGCTTCTGGTGAGAAAGTAAGCAGGAGGGGAAACTGCAGAAGTGGCTTTTAGCTCAAGTGGTTTCTAGGAAGACTTGTTATTGGCCTCCCATCTTTCTCAAAATACAATGGATGGCACCTCCAGGGGTGAAGTCATACTACTGGAGACTCACAGTGCCAGCTGTGGCTGCAGAGACCAGTAACTCATAATTGCTGTTGCTTAAGCACATTGTTTGTGTTGCTTAAGCAGCACCAAATGACCTCCTTGGAGGGCATGTCTGGGCTGTGTGTATGGAGGTCCTGGGCTGCCCAGATGGCAAGACCCTGTCTCGGCCTTGCTGGTCCGGTCCAAAGGAAAGCAGAGCAATATGTTTGGTACCAGCCTGGCTGCAGGAGTTGCCAGAAGGAGGCACACTCTGGATTTGTGTATGGTTTACTCCTTAGCATTTTCTTCTCTTGAAGACATCCCACAAGGCAGCAGAGATTCCTTCTCCTAGATGGGCTCTCTTCCCAGGTTGACAAGCCCCATCTGCCCCTAGTTTCCCTTTACAGCACATACAGAGGAAAGCAATCCAAGTTAGTGGCCATCACTGCCTCTTGTCTTTAGAGAGAAGCAGGTACTGTTCCTTGAGAGTGCTGAGAAAGAGAGAATTGCTTGTTGGAGCTGGGATAGCTACTGACTACTTGGGCAGATCCTACCGCCTGGCAAGTGTCTGTTTGCAAGGTCTCAGGAATCACTTCCTTAGGTGGTGCTTCCAGCTGTGATTGCTTTCAAGTTGCTTCCAGCAGAGATTGCTTTCAACTTGCTAGTCCTCTTGAGGATGTTGGGGACGAAGAGGAGGCCAGAGGCCCGCTCGATGCTCTCGATGGGGACCAGGAAATTCTCCAGAGGGATCTTGTCATTGACAGGGCTGTTTGGCATGACGTAGGAGCGCAACTCTATCTCCCCACTTGACTTCTCCAGGATGAGCACCTTGAAGAAGTGTGTGGGGACGGCCACGTGGCTCTTCCCAATCACCTGGTATTTCACGTACATCTTCCCATCTGCCTCCATCCTGTATGGCGAAATTGGGGGGGGGGGTTAGAAGCCATGATGTGGGGTAATTCCAGCACCCCTTTTACAAAAATGTGAAACAATATTATAATTTTTATTTAACAAAATCGATATTTTATTATTTAATAAAATAATAACTGTGATTGCGGGGTGGGGGATGTTGGCAGAGTAAACCAGAGGGGAAAGTCTGTAAGTTGTTTTGGTTTTTATTAATTACCTGGGTAGAAAAAGTGGTCCTGTACAGACATAAACATTCTTGTTGTATTTAGTTAAGCTCCTGCAGTATTTCTCCAGGTTATTCCAGGCATTCTGATTCAGATGAGGATTCTAGAAGCAAAATAAATGTTGTGTTCAGTAGCTGAAGTGAGGATGATAATGAAGCAGTTAAAAGGCTAGGTGTGGTCCAAATGTTGCAGAACCACAAGGTGGTAAGGGGGGGGGAACTGTTGCTCATTGGTTAGAACACGTGCCTGGCATGCAGAAGGTCCCAGATTCAATCCTGGGAAAGGCTGGGAGTGTCCCTTGCTGGAAGCCCCAAATAAGCTGCTGCCAGTCAGAGTAGACAGCACTGAACTAGGTGGACCTCACTGACCTGACTCCATAGCAGCCTTTATGTGTGTGGTGCTATGTTTAACTCTATGCTCACCTTTTAAAAGCCTCTGTGGGGCGCCTAATCCCAGAGGTGACCCAGAAGTGACTTTAGTTCACATTGCTTTAAAAATATTAGGTCTAGTAGACCTATTTTGAGTCACACAACTCAAAAACTGTAAGGCATAGAATTTTTTTATTCACTTTTGTGACTTTGACATGAGATAATCCAGTTGGGGCAATTTTAATCAAAATCTGAGATGTAGTAAAAATCAAAAACACAACTGGTGATTGTCATGGAACAATCCCACTGAAGAAACTAACAATGGCTACCCAGACATAACTGCTTCTTGCAAAGGGGCCCCCATAACAATTAAAGCTTATGGGGCCCCCAAATGTAGGCCTGCCTTTGGTCTCATGGACAGGCATTCTCTTTATTTCCTCGATATCAAATTAAGAAGTGCCTCTGAGGCTATGCAGAGTGCAATTGCCACAGCTTAGGGTGGGGGACAAGACCAGCTTTCCAACCATTAACAGAGGTACTTGAGCGCCCGGGGAAAATAGCTCGCTCGCTGTCTTCAAACAAGCCAATCCAGTACACTCTCCCTTACCTGGGGGGCGACGTTGCTCAAGTAGAACGTGTCCCCCATGGCCTTCTGGCTCCAGCGGTGGTTGGCGGCGGCCGCCAGATGTCCCCGGTCAAAGCCGCTGCCCTTGTAATCCGCGTTGGTGGCGCGGTGGTACTCGTGAATCGAGTCGTCGGAACGGAAGTCGCAGGCAGCGCGGTCCGAGGAGCCGCTCAGCGTGGCCGGGTTTAGCTGCTCCACCACCCAGAGGGCGCTACGAGCCCGCGGGTCGTAGCACAGCACGTAGGACTCCCGGGTCCGCAGCAGGGACAGCCCCGGCAAGCCGTACTTGGCCAGATCCCCCGAGTCGCCAACGCCGCCTCGGGCAGCCAAATCCGAAGTTGTGGTGGCGGCGGCAACCACCGGCACGACCGGCAGCCGTGAGAGGAGCCCCTCCGCCTCCGCTCCCAGCTGGCTCGGCTGCCTCCCTCTCTTGGACAAGCCGGCGCCCAAGCCCAACCCGAGAGCCAGGGAGGCCGCCGGCACCAGCCACCGGCTGCCGCTGCAGAAGCGCCTCATTTCATCCGCTCCGCTTGGCGGAAGCGACCCAGCGACAGCTATAGACACGAGGACTCCCGGGTCTGCGGGTGGGAGAATGTGAATGGGGATGGAACGTCCGATCAGCGGAACGCCGAAAATGAGGGGAAAAGTGTGAATGGAACGGAACGTTCGATCAGCAGGTCAGGGAAGGTGCGAGTGGGACAGAACGTTCGAGGAGGAGCAAAAAGGGATACACTGTAGCCCCGCCTTCGTCGGTCGTGCCGACTTCTTAAAGGGGCAATGTTTTCAAACAGGAGGCTAAGACGGGCTATACCGCGTTGGTCTTGCGACTGGTGGAGGTCCCTGGGCCCGCTAAAGGGTCGCGCGGGCCGTGATCTAAAGGTGGCTTGCTACATCAGCTCTGCCACAAAACAAGTACTGTTGTTGTTGCTTAGTCGTGTCCGACTCTTCGTGACCCCCATGGACCAGAGCACGCCAGGCACTCCTGTCTTCAAAACAAGTACCCACGGTAACAATAACACTAAGCAGGCCGGCCCATCCATGAGGCAAGGTGTGACAATCGCCTCGGGTGGCAGAACCCACAGGGGCAGCTGATCCTGATGTCAGTATTTATTCCTGATCTTCACTCACCCTTTCTTCCGTGGTGGGTGGGGGATGCCATTTTGGGGTTCACCCTCAGGCACCCAAATGTCTTCTGCTGGCCCTGATACTAAAGAAATCAGCCTCCAAATGCACACTGGAGTTAAGGAGGTCGGTTCCTGGGGCTCTGGAAAGGCTGAGGGCTACGTAAGCTTCTCCTGAAGAAGGGCGTCTGAGAGCGTACTGCAGGGGGAGCAAAAGCCCACGATAGAAAAAGCAGTGCTTGCTTCTACAAAACCACACACTAACAGGAAAAGAAGGCAGTCCCTTTTTGCCAAAAGAGCTGTCCTGTACAGTGAAGCAGACTTCTTCAGGATGTAGTGGGTCCTCCTACGCTGGGTGTTTTAAAAACAGAGGTTGGATGGTCATGTCAGCGGGATTCTTTAGCTGGGATTTCTGCATTGTGTGGGGGGGGGATATGACCCTTGGGTCTCTTTCAGCTCTACAGTTCCATGATTCTATGACTAAAGGTAAAGGTAAAGGTACCCCTGCCCGTACGGGCCAGTCTTGACAGACTCTAGGGTTGTGCGCTCATCTCACTCTATGACTACTTTACAGTATATGCGGAGCATGTAACAATTGTAGAACATTGCCCTTTTAAGGACACTAAAAAGCCCGTCACACTTTACGGTCCTTGCCCTTGCTGATTCTTTGACCTTAGGGAGCCGTTAGAAGAAGATTGGTGCTTTGGCTGGGCTGAAGCAAAGGTGTATTGCACTACAACTGTCTTCATATTATATTCCATAAACCCGCATTTAAAGCCTTCCTTCTTGTAATGAATTAAGACTGTTAACAATAATTTCTAAGAGTGTGGAGAGCATGCCACTGTGTAGAGCATGTTGGTAGGTTCAACCAGTACAATAACAGAACCACTATAACTTTAAATAATATATTACAACTGTACTTTTTAACTTTTCAAGAAATTACCAAGATGGAATTTATAGGTCACCAAGCAGCCTCAGACCCAACCCTGCTCAGTAATTCTAAGAAGTAAAAGAATCACTGTTTTGAAAATCAGTGGTTAAAATCAGTGGTTTTGGAAACTCTGGTTCACCATCATGATTCACAACAGGGTCCAATTGTCTGCAAACTTAAGACAAAAGCCTCCTGCTTGAACTCAGAAAGCATCCATGTGTCCAGATACAAAGAAGTTTCCAAAAAGTACACAGGAGAAAATGCCAGTATCACTTTTAGAGGGGGTACTGGTTAGTCTGATGCAGCAAAAACCACTGAGAAATGTGTGTAAAATAAAGTACTTCTTTATGCAACAGTTATGGAACAGGATGGCAGTTATGTTTACCAATCTAGATAAAGAAAAAGGGACCCCTGACCATTAGGTCCAGTCGTGACCGACTGGGGTTGTGGTGCTCATCTTGCTTTATTGGCCGAGGGAGCCGGTGTACAGCTTCCGGGTCATGTGGCCAGCATGACTAAGCCACTTCTGGCGAACCAGAGCAGTGCACAGAAACGCCGTTTACCTTCCCGCCGGAGCGGTACCGATTTATCTACTTGCACTTTGACGTGCTTTCAAACTGCTAGGTTGGCAGGAGCAGGGATCATGCAATAGGCGCTCACCCCGTCGTGGGGATTCGAACCGCTGACCTTCTGATCGGCAAGTCCTAGGCTCTGTGATTTAACCCACAGCACCACCCGCATCCTTTCCCAAAAAATACACAGGAGAAAATGCCAGTATCACTTTTAGAGGGGTTACTGGTTAGTCTGATGCAGCAAAAACCACTAAGAAATGTGTGTAAAATAAAGTACTTCTTTATGCAACCGTTATGGAACAGGATGGCAGTTATGTTTACCAATCTAGATTCATGGAGGAGAGGGCTGTCAATGGCTACTAGCCACAAGTGCTATGCTTCTGAATACCAGTTGCTGGAAGCCACAGGAGGGGAGAGTGTTATTGTGCACAAATACTGCAGGCTGGTTCCCCACAGGTTACCTGGTTGGCCACTATGAGAACAAGATGCTGGACTAAATGGACCATTCACCTGATCCACCACATTCTTGTGTTCTTGAAAGACTGATTTTTTCCATTGTTTAAACTTTTGAGGTTTAAAAGGCCACTTGACAAGCCCATGATAGCAACAAAATTTGTGCAGCATCTTATTTATTTTATAACAGAATAATAGGGTTTATGGTGGCACATTTTTTGCAGAAGACCATGTTGCAAAAAACCTCATGCCCACACCTATTTTGAGATTGTACAAACTCATTTGCCACATCCTGCCTCCTTCATTTTAACACCAGTCACTTCCACCCTTATGGTTACTGTCAGAAGAGGGTAAAAAAATCAAGTCAAGATTTACAAAGGTTCATGTTTATTTTTTTGAGGGGGCAGGGGAAATCAAGAGGGAGGCCACACTGATGAAAACAGAATTCGTAACAGTATTGTAGGTGGTCCAGTATACAGAAATAAAGCCATTACTATTGGGCTACTACAGAACATGCACTAACCCCAGAACCATTTTTTTGGTGGTTCATGCTCCAAACTTCCCAAAAGGCAATTAAAAAGAAAAAGTCTGAGGAAGATAATGAAAAAATACAATGTAGAAGAATGGGGGGGTAGGTGGGTGGGAGAACATTCTGTATCTGACAAACAGCTCCTTACCCTGTTTCACTTAAAAAAAAGTAATCTAGGCACCTTATCTGTAATGAGAGAAATCCTTAGTGCATTTAATGGACATACAGTGGGAACTCCTGTGTATAGCAGATCCCAGTGACGACAGCGAGCCCTTCTTACAAAGGAACACAATCAGCTTATTTTCAATGCCCCTTATTTTCATTCTTACCTGTGCCAGAGCTGACATCAGCTGTGGTGGGGCAGATAAATGTAGTTTGGGTGGAAATGTCCCTGTAGGCCAAACTGGGATCTGTTCCAGGTCTAGCAAAGCCTGTGCATGAGAAGTTCTCTACTCCTACTATACATACTCAGCAGAACGTTGCAGCTTCTCTCAAAAACAGTTTCCCCTTTCCACCTTAGTGAGCTGAGAGGACAAGGCTGTACCATTTCACTGAGCATTTCCACATAACTAAATGCTTGTGAGCACATATTTGAGTCAGATTTCTCTCTGTGTTACCATTGGCTTCATTTAATCCACAATTTTTCTGCAAAACGTCATTATGTAATTTTGAAAAAATAAAAATAAATGCAGACGCCAAGGCCCAGACTCCCACAGGTAACAGAAAACTATCACCTTCCTTTTTTTAGAATATTAGAGAACTGATCTCAGAAACTGCATAAAGTTCTACTTAAAGAGTTTTTTTAACATCCAGAATTTGCTAACTGCCAAATATGCAAGCCGAGACCAAGAAACTAAGCATGCTACTCATAACAGGCTATCACTTAGGTCTCTTCACTGAGACAAAATCCACACAGGGGGATGTGGTAAGAGTTCCAAGGTGGCTGGAAATATGCCAGTGGCATTTATTTATTTTTGCAAATGCTCTACATGACTAATTTCTGCAAGCAGAAAGCTAGCAGAACAGGGAAAAGAAAACTCTAGAATATCTCTCCCTCTCCCACCAATGCACTAGTTTTTTTCCTTCACATGAAGCAGCATTCAGGAATGGCATTTTCTACCTGCAGTCCACATTGGCATGGTGGTCTACTTGACACATCATTCTGGCACATAGTAACAACAATAATAATGTCATTATTTGTACCCCTCTCAATGGACTGTTCAGGGAAGGGGAATTCTGTGGCCTTCCAGATATCCCTGGACTACAACTCCCATCACCCCTGATTGTAGGGTCACATGCTGGCCAGGGCTCCTGGGAGTTGGGAGTCCAACAACCTCTGGGAGGTTCACAGGTTCCCCATCCCTGAAGACCTGACCAAGTTTACAATGGAAGCTTCCTGTGGTCACCTCTTCCCTTGCCTCTCATACACATTTGGTGGTGAGTTAGGGCTGATGTTTCCTTGAGAATTCCATTCTTTGGAGAGATAGTGCGCACCCACCTCCTTGTTCCCCATAACCAACAAGCTTTATCCACACCATGGTTCCCATAAAACACATTCCTCTCAATGAGATCAGGACATCATTTTATCCAGAAATCTCTTCAGTTTATCCAGGGCACCCGCTCTAGTCTTGTGTAAACACCACTGTAAGACAAATCTGCTTATATGCAGAGAAAGAGGTTAAGATTTAGATGTCTGTGAAGGGGTCTTTTATAGACCTGTTACCATGCAGATTCTGGTTTGCTAAAAAGACAAAAAAGCACCAAGAAATTCTGCAACCTCTCCCCACCCCAAAAAAAACTTCCAAAAGGCATGAACTCTGACATCTATGGCCACATCCTCACCATACATTTAAAGCACATGACCCCACAAAGAATCCTGGAAACTGTAGTTTATCCCCTTCCCAGAGCTACCATGCTCAGCACCTAAGAGTCTCCAGGACTCTTTGAGGCGGGCAGCAGTTCGTTTTAAACACGCTTTCAAATGTTTGGCGTGGATGTGGCATATTAATAGAGTGTCACAAATTTAGAAAACCAGCAGCTCTTCTCCTTGCCCCTGGGAAGTAACTCTTAATTATAATCAGAACAGCAGCACTATTCAGAGGAAGCAGTTGCTTCTCTTAACAGAGCCAGAGGCAGAATTGTCCCTTTT